ACCTAATAGCGATGGCCTCCACCCTAATAGCGATGGCCTCCAACCTATTAGCGATGGTCTCGAACCTACTAGCGATGGCCTCCACCCTAATAGTGATGGCCTCCATTCATAATAGGAATGGCCTATAAGCGTAACCTATACTAATAGCGATGTTCTCCAACCTAATAGCGATGATTCTAAACATGCAAACGAGCAAACGCACTTTGAACTTGGTGGCGGCCAACGACTTTCACCCAACGTCTTGAAGCGGATAGCATTGGGTAGCCCGGCATCACTGCGCCCGGCGCCAGGCCAGCAGCAGCCAAGGTCGTCTGCCACGTGGCCAGCGAGGATCCATGGGTTGCGGAGGATTTCATGGAAAGCGGTCTCAGGAGATTCTGAGTGAGGAATTCTTTTGGCAGAAGCCTACTGGTATAACGGTAGAAAACTGTTTAGCATTGATGGACAAACTCAGTATTGGTACTGCAAAGAAGCATCTTGAGTGCAGGGATCTGGTCATTTAATCGTAGCATACCGTAGCATATGTATACTTGGTACAAGACCAACAAGGACTCTCAACTGGAACTTGCCGTTATTATATATTGGGCCGGGACCACCAAGAGCCCCTGTCCACTTCTAACAGTCACAGTCAAGCTCAAACAGTTGTCTGTGCAAGCACAACTTTCAAAATGTTCAAAAGCTACTGCTTATGTGCAAAAGCATGAGCGCAAAATCCCGTCCAAATTATGAAAAGACTCAGTGCTGCACCCGCCCAAAAGACTCGTGTGCCAAAGACTCTTGCTTTCACGAAAAGCAAGTCCTCCTAGGCCTTCGCACAATCTCCCGAGTCTTCGCTCGGCCATCTCCAAAAGACGCACCTTGGGGTTCATCCGCTCCAAAGGAGGTGACCGGTAGACGTACCTTGTGAAAAAACCGGTGGCTCAAAAGCAGGCAGGTTCGGGCAAGGAGGCTAGCCCGGTTGGCTGATAAAACTGATGTGGCTGATGTATGGGGATGTCGGGCATTTGAAAGTTTCTTGAGGTGTATCAAACAAACGGGAAGGAGTTGCATACCACCCATCCCATCCGGCTTGAGGATAAGGCTTCTTGTTGATAATCACAAGATTAGCAAAGTTTAGCTGCTGTGCGGGCACATGCGGGCACGCTTAAAGAAGTTCCACAAGGGTAAAGCACATTTGGATGCATTTGGAACATGCTGAGTTCATTGGCACCTGACAGGGAAAAAAGGATGATCTAAGCGATGACACCTGCTGCATCATATCAAACACAATATTAAATTCAGCCCTTTGGGAGCACCATTTTGACGCCTGGACAGCATCTGAGAGCAAGGGTTTGATGCTTTCCAGTACCTGAGAATCAAAGGTTGCCATGACGAGTTGACCTTATTCGTTGGATGACCTTCTTGAGTTTGAAGATTTTGAAGAATGATAATTGAATCATGATCACCCTCCAACTTCTTCAGTGTTGACGCAGTCAATGTTCATGGGTGTCAAGTCGCGTCTTAACCTGCTGTTGCGTCTTTGATCACCACGCGCTGCGAGCCTGCCTCTTTGAACTCATCATACTCATCATGGCTCGGATCTTCTTCGTGTCTCATGGATTTCCCATGTTGTGGTCTCATGTTAAGCCCCACGCCTGGGCACCCTTGTCTGCAGATCTGAAGTGCACCTGTGCCAGTCTCGAGGTTTACCACACCGCATTTCATTGCATTGGTAGGTTGTCATCAACAGAAGTCAACAATGGGTCGACTTCTACCAATTGAACACCCAAATGTGAGCCTGAGTTACTCCGAGCTTTCCACCAAAAGACCGTGTGTTTGCAAAACCCAGCCCCAAGCACTCAAAACTGTCTGCCATTTTGTGATCAGTCCGCCACAAGCCTGCAGGACTGACTTGTCCGGGCAAACGATCCGCAGCACGCAGGACTGGTCGAGTGCGTGAAAAATTGAGGGACTAATTCTATAGCTTCTTGTTACTACTAGTAAGGCACTTGTTACTAGAAGCGATGCACTTGTTACTACTACTGTAGCTTTTTTTACCAAAAGTTTACACCTTGTAGAGGCATGCATTGCCAATGTACAGAAAGGCTCCTCGGTAGAGCATTATCTTCCCTAAATAGGTCTCGCAGTTTCCTCTTGTTTGCCCATGTATCATGCGACAGCTTGCCCTTTCTTGCAACATGCTCAGGGACTCCTGGCTTCTGTGGGTTCTACACTACAGTTCTAAGGGCGGTGTGGGTCCAAGCAAAGAGACGATATGCCCTACGACCAACATCATGTAGACTGCTGCATGATTGTTGGCAAGCAAAAATTAAACTCGAAATGGAAGTGGAACGGCTGGTTTTGGGCTGGTGTGCTTCATAACTAAGAGAAAGGAATGTTGGCTGTGTCTGCTTTTCTACTTGGAGCGTCCTATTCATTTGTTTCGGGGTTTGCATCCAATCGGAGAGTGCCTCCAGGACCACCACTTGTGTGTGTGTATGTACAATGTCCTCACAGCTCCCAAAGAGCGCACCATACTTTTGTGCTGCTAGCAAGATCAATCAAAATTCCTTTATCTCTCTTGGAACAACATGATTCCTTGAAACAACATGATTCCTTTCATATCTGTTTCTATTCCCGTTTGGCCACAGCCTTATATGCTTTGGCACGCTGCAGGTGTGCCAAGCGCTTCTTGTCAGCGCTCTCGAAGGTATCTCGGCGCTGTCCGCGGAGGCCGTCGCGGTCACACTCTCTTGTTTTTATAGGTACACAAGGCACTTTTCTATCCTTAGCCTGGTGGAGTAGGTGGGGACGGAGCCCAGGAAGCTACTGGTGGCTGGAACTTAGGAAAGCTCAGCCCTCGCACTACTAGGTGGTGAGGGAACTTAACAAATTTAAATAGAATAGACTAAAATGTTCCATTGCACAAGTATTGCTATTGCACAAGACTTGTAAGTTTATGTTGGGACAATGAAAAAATCTACCCTACTCTCTCGATGCATTCTGAATGCTGTGTAGTTTGAGTGTTCGACAAGGAATTTAACAGGATGTCAACATATACCTTTTTATGGTCTGCCGAGCGAGCTCTACCGCCATAGTTGCTATTAACTATTAACCATATCTGCATGCAACAGGTTGCAGAACACACCATGTTCGTCTTAAATCTGCTAGTCGTGAAATTCACACAATCCGGATGACTTAAGCATTCTTCTGACAGTCTGACAGTCTCAAAGTAGTTGGATTCTGAGTAAAGTCGGGTTTGTGAGTGTATCAGCTTCTACTCTAGCTAAATATGAAAAATAAGCTCCATTCAAGACACCCTGAGTCTGAGTCCACCCACGACTTCCAGAGATTGCTTGCTTCGCAGACGCCACCTGATCGAGGGGGTTAGGGACCTCCGCTGTGGATAGGCGTGGCTGGAGCCCTTCGGATCTCAGGTCCCATGATTCCAAAGCATACAGCATCACTTATAGCATCACACGGCCACGCTTCGAGTCTCAATAGCTTCTGCATTGTCGATTTGAAGGAACATGAAGGAACTGATTCATTTGGGGGAAGCGCATCAGAGAACCACCAGCAATGAACACTGCCATGCAAACTAAACTAAGCTCCACACCTGCTCCTTCAACAGGTGGCTATCAGATGTACGCTCCTGCAACCCAATCAACATCAGTCTTGGCCCGCTCAACTGCTGCTTCCAAATCTCATGACATGCCGGAACACAATCACTTTGGATGCGGCCAAAGGCCCAATCTTATGTAATGCATACCTCAAGAATTGTTTTGATGTTCAGGCCCACACAAAAAGTTGTTTCTTGCAATGCCAGTGCTGGTGGTTTCTGCGCAGTAGGAGTTCGGCTGTACGGTGTCGATGTGCAAGTCCAACCTGGTTCGTTTCTTATCCCAAAACCCAGAATCTTTAACCCAGAATCTTTCTTCTCCGCTCCACAACATGCCCATGCTTGTCCACAATGTGCTGACTCCCGATTTTCAAAAAATGACTCCACATATTCACATGGCCTTGAGAAACTGCACACCTCTGAACTACCACCCCGACCCGTTGGGTCTCCTCCTCCTGGTCGGCCTCGCGGATGACCTCCTCCAGCCGGCGGCCTGCAGAGAGCCAAAACCTCGATGGACCACAGATGGTGTCGAACGGGACGAAAGGAATTGAAAGGAATCTATCTAACAGTCTGAAAGTATCTGCGAAGAATTTTGAGAACCCAGAACTCGCTGGAGGTCTAGACATGTCGTCTAGATTTAAATTTGACATGTTTTATCCTGTGTGTTTCTTTGAGTTGGTTGCGCAAGAGCGGGAAAATACAAAGTCCCAAACTACATCAGGCCATTCAACCATATGTTTGCAATGTCCCTGAAGTTTCTGTGCGCAAGGCCAAGTAGCCAAACATTGAACTCCTGAAATCCCAAGGTTGCGCCCACAATCCGTGACCTCATTGATCATTGACCTCCTGTCATCCTGGGCGCCCCTGGCGCGGCAGGCCGCAATGGCACAGAGGGCGCCTGCTCCACCTGTTAATGGCTGCTGAGCTGCTAAATAGGAGGCCCCCACAGCCCCGACAAACAAAATGCGGAAATGTTGGTCCACCCAAAACCTTCACTGACACTCCCTAAGGCAAACGAAACCTGGAAAGTGCAAGTCGCAGGCCGCCTTGCCTCATCTTGAAGCTCCCTCTCACGCTTCTTCACCTCATCCCGGAGGCTTTCAGCCTGGGCAGCCAAGGTTGTCTCCCTGAGACGAAACTGGTGAAACATTGGGACCAAATGGAAAAAGCTTAAAACGAGCAAAGTGGACCGGGGATGTTAACCAATGCTAACCACCATGGTCACCATGGTCTTGGCCTTGGAGTCGCCACCCTTTTCAATTCAATTCTCCTCAGATCTCATGGCACGGCCTGGCTCTTCCATGCCTCAGGAGCCTTGGCACTCCTGAGATGGTCTGCCACAGTCTCCGGTCTGGTGGTGCAGGTGCAAAGATTGCTCAACAAAGGGCTGGACGGCTGGACTGGTTCACCCATCTTCGCACAAAAATCTCTTCCGAACCTGTGTCTGACATTGTCTTACACCGCGTCATTTTGACAGAATTCGCGTTGCGCTGTTGAGTTGAAGTGTTGAATCGATGCGAGCTGTATGTAAGTTGCACAAGACTCTGGTAGGTCATTCATGTATGAGCACTAAATGCTATGTTCAAAGCTGTGAGTCAAACGACTGCACTGCTTCCGAGTGAATCATCTTCAGCCGCACTCAAAAGTTTCAAAAGCACTTTGGAGTTGTTCAGGTTGTTCAACCTCAACAACGCCTACAAAAGCACCCTAGCTATAACATGATTGCATCAATCAGAATGCATAGCAGTTTCGAGCAAATGCCAGCTTATCCAGCTTCATTTGCTGCCCCCAGCTTCCCACTCCGTCCTGGTGGTGTCCACAGACTGCACGATAGAAGAGCATGGATTAAAGCCTCGACTCGGTCCAGAGAAGACCCCTCCATTCGCTCCACCAGTTCCTTCCATTCTGCTCGTCATGCAACAATCATCATTGGTACAACTTACAACCAATCAATGGCATGTCGCAACTTGCGTTCACAGGGGCAGAAGACCTGTCATATGGATCTTGGCGTGTTTTCCATATTCCAAAGTATCTCAATAGATTCCATAGCCAGGACATCCCAGGACCCGGTCTTGATCATCGCTTGACTGACTCCCCCGACTTCCACCGGGCATAGAAGGCACAAGCACATTCGCCTTTTCGCTACCGCCCATTGATTCGGCACATGTTCAGCGTGTTGGTTCGGACGCTCCACGCCACCAACCGATCCATTTGGGGAATTGCTTGTCCGTTGAGATCGCGGGTTCTCTTTCCAGTCACGATAGAATTGCTTGTCATATGTTGATTCAGAACAATGTCAGCCACTAGTTGCTGAGAGTGTCAAACGCAAACCCAAAAGACAAGAAACGCCATCAATTCTTGCTTGGTGTCCATCCTAAGGGAACGCTATCCACCTCTCATGAGACTCTCAATGCCTCCTTTTTCAAGTATGTTCCTCTTTCAAGCAAGTCATAAACCTTGCTATAGCCACTTGATTGACTAAACTCAAGGTGCTCTGGTTCTCCAGGGCATCACAGGTCATGAAAGACATGTGTATTCATGCGTCTCAAAGAGATCCGAACACTCTCACCGAATGATCGGCCCGGCCTCTTTCGCCACGCCAGCTAGCACATGGTGTGCATCAGTGAGCCGCAGAATGTAGGCCACCGGCATATGGAGCCTCAAACAACATGTCCATGTCCACCGAGATGAGAACGGTCTTCGGGGATCCGCTTGTTTTTTCTTCCAGCTTTGCTCGGACTTGACATGCACAAATGTGAAATGCTGTATGTACCATGGGTTGCCATGTCATGGTGTCTCTGTATTAAGGAAGTGGTTTCACCTAGTTCCACCACCCATCTTCTGCGTCAAGCAGAATCTTGAAAAGGCAGAATTGCACGTGATAAACTGATAAAATATGCTTGTGTGCGCTTGCAATTGGAAAGAGTGGAAATTGTCACATTGCCTATATTGGGTACACGACAAGCATTGCTCCTTGTTGGTACAGTGTGCATATCGTTGCATCGTGCGTTTTTCGGTGGTTCCTGTTCAAGAGACTTGCAAGACAATGCACTGTTCGCAGCAAAAGCTCTCAACACCCTCCGCCCTTTGGGGCTCCCCACAGACCGCCTTTCCGATCTTCCTGGTCGTGGTTCCCATTCACCCACCCAAAGAGAAGCTTTCCACAGCTGATTCCTGATCCAGGTTCTCCATCTGGCGAACTTGCTTCAGTTCGATGAAATGGTGTTCATTGATTAACTGACGGAACATTACGGAAATCTGGGTTTCAATTTCACCAAACATCTCTACAGAAGTGCTGCTTTACTTTTCTTATATGTTTTTGTGCAAAGTCTTACTTGTAAGACCTTATAAATTACGGTATTGAAACTCTGAATCGGATTGCTGAGCAGTTGCTAGTCTCCTTATTAACGCAAAACATGTTTTCAAAACCATACGTACCATTTCATCTGGTTTTTCAAATCTATGTCAAAAACACACTTGATTCAAGTAGGGTGTACTTTGTTTGTGATCTCTTTTCTACGCATCCAACCGAGAACGTCTCTGCCCATCCTCCAAAACCGCTTCGGCATCATCCGCGTCTAGGAATCCGCTGGCACGCAGAAAGTCCACCGCCGCTGCGTGGCGACCGACCTGGAGGGAGAACTGGGCCCGTTCCCAAGCGCGAAAAAGCCCCTAGTAGCTTCTTGCTCCTAGTAGCGATGCCCTTTGTTGCTAGTAGCATCCTCTACCCCCCCGGCTTTCATACCTCTTTGGGCTGTGAGGTTTCCATGCCGAAGTGATATTGGTTGTGGCATGTGTGGAACAGCGGACCGGACCTTGCGCTGGAATGCCGCGTTGGCCTGGCAAGCAAAGGCTGGAACCATGTCAACTTGCTCACACTGGACATCCATTGCCTTCAAAAACGGCGTGAATAACGTGTAAGCACATTCCATTTGCGAGGACATGTCCGACATCCGAACTTTCCAAACAAACCCACGTTGGAGTGTCCAAGCAGGTCATGCCTTCTTGACTTTGCGCTTTTTGGAGTTTTCCAAGTCGCCAAGGATGTTGTGAATAAGCTGGCGTGAAAACAAGCCAGAAGCAAGCAAGCGAGCGAGCGAGCAAGCAAGCAACAGATATTTGAAGGATTGGCGACTTCGCTGGCTCATGAGTGAGCTTGCTGCACTTCGCTGCTAAACAAGTATCAACACATAGCCTGTAGCCTCTGCCATTGACACAGCAGCAGGTTTACAGTTCTTCCTGCTTATAAGGAAAAGAAGCTGAAGTGAAAGGATAGGAAAGGAAAACCATTGCTTCTAGGTTGGAGGCCATCACTATTAATTAGGTTGGAGGCCATCGCTGGTAGTTTGGACAAAAATCGCTAGTAGGTTGGAGGCCATCGCTTCTAGAAGTGAAAGGATAAGCAAGGAAAGCATAAAGCAAACAAATCTAATCCACAGCGACGGTGCCTTGAAGACAGTACTGATAGCCTCCTCTCTTTCAGACTCATCCTGACAGCCCATTGCATGCAGAGACGTTCTGAATTCATCGGATTGGCAAGGAAAGACATCACAAATTGCTGTGATTTGCTGTATACGTGTGTGAATGTGTGAAAAAAAAAAATATATATATATATATACAAATATACAAATATATGTGTGTGTGATATGTTACGTTCTAAAACTGAAGATTGATTGTGTTCTCCGGGCCTTTTCTGGGGCTGGAGTATCAGCTCCTAACTCCAACTGACTGCGGTGGCCAGAATGTTTTTGCTCGAAGTCTAATTGGGCTAAAACCAAACAAGGTGGACAAGGTGTTGTACATTTGAGCAGGGTCGAAGATATTTAGCCATGGAGGCCCTTTGAAAGTCAGGAATTCCATGGAATTCCTGTCAACTGGGGTTTTAGGATCACAGCCTTAGAACGGCACATATTTTCACATGTCCAATGTGAGCGTCCTCAAAACTTGACCCCGCCCCCCCAGCACGCAGCCTCAATCGCAAGGATGCGCTGCCCGGCAGATCCCAGCTTGGTGGCATCCTGAGCCATACTCAAACATGAAAGTTCACCCCGAGTACCGAGCGCTTCGCTCTTCCTTTGTACGGGCGCATCACACCGATCTTTAGGAACTTCCTCTGGGTACCCTCGCTGGCAAGCCACTGGGCACATCGTTGGAGACCTCCAGGTGAGGATGTGTCTGTCGAAGCACACCACTTTGAGCTAGATCCGCAATGACCCCAAAAAAGTTGATATCCGATTTAAACATATTTAAGGATCGATCGGAACGTCTGGCCACTAATTACAAGCAAATACCGAGCTGACTACAACTCCTCAACTCCTTGCTAGCTGGGCCAAAAGATCATTCACGTAAAGAGAAGGAGAACAACCTTATAATATATATATATATATTTATTTATGTTTTTACAGTATATATTTACTGTAGAGTATATTCATATCACACGTCAACGCATTGGTGATTGGAGTGCTGCATGTCTCAAGCGACACGAGCAGCCCAGCAGCCTCCGCCTCGGCCTCCGCCATGGAAGCCGCAGCCTCAAGACAATGAGGTGGCTGCTCAAGTGGAGTATGTCGTTCACTGCGGTAGGGCACACTGTTGAACCGTTGAACCCTGAGAAGCTGAAGCAGCCGGCTGTGCTTGGCTTACAACTCACCTGCTAAAACATATATCATCATATATCGCGTTACCCCTACAAGCCCATAGAGACCAGCCTCCACGCCTGGGCGCCAGCGGCAGCTGCTCAGGCACTATGCAACCAATGGATCCCTAACTGGGAGGACGTTAGTGTGTGGGATTGGGGTCTCAGGGTGTCTGATGAAGCTGAGGATGCAAAGGCTGTTTGGACTGGACTTGGCTAAACCAAGAGGGTTTTCAACTACAGAATCACTGCAGAATTATATAGCGTCTCCTGTCTTGAGCGTGCCCTGAGTGTCTAGAGTCTAGAGTCTAGAGTCTAGCTGGTCGTGACTGATGGTTGACGGTCAGCTCTTTTTTGAGCAGATTCAGCTGTGGAGCAACTGAACTGGAGGGCTGGTTCGTCGCCTGCTTTTTTATGCGAATGGTGTTCATTGATTTGCTCCACCGAAGTGTTTAGCTCGTTTCTTTTCGATGAAACTTAGGCTCAAAGTTTCGGCTCCTTGGTGGGCCACGCTCCCAGGGTTTGAATAGGCACCCTTTTCTGCACCACACAAACCGCGGCTGCCGAAGCTTCTCACAAAATCTCACAACAAATGTGTCCAAACAGCCGCATCCCCAAGAACAAAGGGACACATTCAATGCATTGGCATCCCACAGGGTACCAAGCTTTGCCGAATCCAGATTGTTTACTTGGCATCCAAAGTTGCTGGAAAACTCAGGTGTTTTTGAAGCTGTTTGAAAGATTAAGAGTTTTGCTCAAGATCAACCAAGTGATTTATCAGCATCTGGTGTTCCTCAGCTTTCATGAAGATTGTTGGATCAGAACCAGTGGGGATCTCTTTTCCATTTACAACTAGTAACTAGATCTCGAGCAGATCCTTATTTGTAAGCCGGAGTGGTCACAACCCGGTCTCATATGGATCAACGTTAAAGAAAAACAAAACCCTCCCGTGGAAGTCGCAAACGAAACATGATAGACTGAGGCGTTCAACTCTCTCTCTCTCACACACACACACACCCCACACACCGGCACACGCACAGTCCGGCGCACCCTCTTCAACTTTTTGGGTTAAATCTGTGAAACACGAATTGCCACCTGATGTTGCATATCTTCACAACTGTCTGGCTGTGTCAGGTGAGTGTCAAGTTGAAGTAGACGCTTGTATTTAAATTTGACTGGTGGCTACGGGCAAGCGCCGCATCTTGAGACATATTATATAGCTACAGTTGATCAAGCAACCTTAATCTAGAAGTATGTCATGAATGTAGCACCCTGTTGCCTGCCCTTAGATCCAATTCTAAAGCTCACCACACATCACACATTCGCCTTCCAGTACACGCACTCAAACTCATCGTGAGTTTAGAACTACAGCGGCTAGCTGATCTAGCTGGACCAAAGTTTGGCAAATAACATTCATCGTCGTTGTTGTCATCATCATCCACCATCAGCATCATCGCCACCACCATTGCCATAGTCACCATCATGATCGTCATCAAAATTGTTTTGACTGATAGTCATAAGATACTCGACTGATGTTCGAGTGATGACTGTGCTTTTGTGCACCTTGCTCGAGGGTGTCGACAACCCCCAACTCATCTCCGCCATCATCCATGGTGGGATCATCATGAACAAATCCGCCGACCCCGGCTGAAGAAAGGGGGAGCGCGCCAGGGATTACAGGTGTGGGAGTGCTCACCATGGATGCCGGTGCCTGTGAATCTCTTGTGGCAAGGTCTGTGCCGGTGCTCAGGTTCACAGGGTACGGATGGGCCAGAATGTACTAGTTTTTTTTCTAGGGATCCAGACGCAACGTTTGGCCCCGAATGTGCGAGCAGTTGAGTCTGTTTTGGAATAGTTTTTGGTGGAAATAGATTGTGTCGTTTACCAGGCCTCAAAACCCCTCAAACGCCTCAAACCCCTCAAACCCTTCAAACCCCTCAACCCTCCCTGGATTGGTACGTTCGCGGCACTCCGACACCGCAGCCTTTAGCCTGGCAGCGCCGGTGTACACCGTGGGAGGCTCGTTTTGGACCAGAATTAGATTGGGAAAAGCTGTGGCGGGACCAGGTGTTCGG